GGTATACTTTAGGAAATGCATTAATGCCCCACTTAGATAGACAATATTTTAATAGCAACTTTTTCCTGTACCATACTATATTGTGGTATTTTATTGTGTTTGGTCAGAAATAAATTTTGATTGATTGTATTTTTTAATCAGGACTGTGATTGTTTTGATTAATTTTGACATAATACAAATTCAAACAATTATATTAATTGTGAATTATATTACAAGTACATAAAATTATGAATTATATTACAAGCACATTCAAGTCTTGTAGAATTGTAATTGCAGGAATGTTCCAATCTTGGATGGCAAACCTCAGATAAAGAATGTTTCCAAGCAAATACAACTCAGGCAAACAAAGTCACTAATCTATGGATAAAGGATTAGAGAGGGGAAGTAAACATATGTTAGACTTTAACTAGAGATAATTAATTGTATGGATTACTGTACTAAACAGTAACGAAAGTTAAGCAGTAACCAAAGTTAACCAATGATGGAGCATAACTAAAAATGTATATAAATACAAGACTATACTCCAGTAAAGATCATCATGATTCAGTTGTTCATGATCAAACAACTCGACTGCCTCATCAATACAACAAAGTCTAAATTAAAATAATAAAATGGAAAAAATAATATTTAGTGTTTTAAAACACAACTTCTTTCTGATACTTAGAGTAGCAGGAATTTGGCACATATTTTTTTAGAAAGTCCATTTATGTGGAAAAAGAACAGGTTTGTGAAGTAATGCACACTGAAACTGAAACAGATTGGAAAAGCTCTGAAGTGAAATGCACAGTTCATACAACATAAAATTGCTCTATATTATCCTAATTCATTTCACAAATATACAGGTGGAGAGGACAAACAAAGCAGTAAGGTCACATGTTGTAGAGTGTCTTCACACAACAGGTATGCGAAGACAGGTGTGACTCTAAGGTTCTTGCCCAAGATGCTGTGCCAGATGGTACAGCCAGATTGCTGGCTATGTTAAGGTTTGTTGAGCACCCCAAGGGTATAGCTTAAAGAGAGTTAGAGATAAAACAGCAGGAAAACAGGAATATTTTTGTGTCTTTCCATCTCTCCATGTCCTTATTTTACCATTCTGTGGTAAAATAAGTGTGCAGGGGGTTCATAACATAGCCAGCAGCAGCAGAACGAGCTTATTGTCATTACTACTGCATCCCATATTTATAGCTCTGCCACATAACCACTGGTTTTGGGTATGCAACACTTTGACAATCACACAAAGCAGGTTTGAACAGGAGATGTCACTCTTTACTCCTCTCTTTTCCAGCAGAGAAAGCCTGCAATCATGCCTCCCTCCTCTGCTTCAAACGTGGCATTTTTCAAATTGCCCTGGCACAACCGTGCCTTGTGTAGTTTCTCTGCCAAGTTTTAATTTGATCTGGGCAATATCTGGGCTGCTATTGGTTATTATACAGAGCTGCTGACATGCTCTCTCCCTTCCAGGCACTGTCTCCAGAGTTATTTTCAAGATGTTTGCACTTGTGGAGGGGAACACCCCCATGTGAAGGCTGAAATCTGCCATGCTTTCTATGGCAGATATCAGGCACATATCTTCAATTAGAGATGATCTGAGCCATGTCTAGAAACACATGCAAAATTGCAATTGGGTGTGGAAAGGGAACTTCATGAGGACAGTGGTGACACCCAAGCAGGAAAAGCCCAAAGGGAACATCAGGCCAGTCATAAAACAAACTTGCATAGGAAAAAAGATTTAATAAAAGGTATTCAAAGAAGCCCCCTAGACAAAAGCCAAGTAATTAAGAAAGCTAGGGAAACAAGAAAAAGAAATCCCTTACAAACAACAGGTCATGCCAAATCAGCAAAACAAATAGACAAAAGACACGAAATAAATTCCATAGCAGACAGGAGATTGCCACCAAACAAATATAAGAAAACATTAGGATGAAACTGATAATCCAATCAAACCACCCCGCAGAGTTTACCCTCTGGCGGAAATGAAGACAACCCCCTGACAGGATTTAAAACATTAAGAAATACAAACACAAGCACTCACACACAAAAGGAGAAAAGGTATAAAAATCAGGAGTTTATTATACAAAGATGGCTAGCCCCAGGAACGCAGACTTCTTGCTATCTCTTGCCTTCCTGAAAAATAAAAGGAACCCGCTTCCAAGCAGTTGTCTGTGTCCTTGCACTGGAGCCCTCCCATCAGGAAAACCGAATCCTCAGAAGAAAGGCATTTTCCGGCCTTTCAACATGGGTAAAGCAGTTTCTTATCCTTGGCAACTTTAAGAGTTACAGGCTACAATTGGAATTAAAGTCCATGCATCTTAAAGCTTCCTGAGGTTGAAAAACGCTGGGGAGTGGAGCAAACAATAGTTGGTCAGAAACTTTTTTATGAACCACTACCTTTTTCTTCCTCACATTGGTTGATTCATAAATTACTTTTTTTCTTTCTCTATCCCACTTACTCTTCTTTAAAACTTGTTCTGCCTGTTTTTCCTTTTAGCCCAAACACTGAAAGAAATCAGCTATCAAAGAAGTATTAAGATTCAGGAAAGATTATTCCAAAGCTTTGTGGGAAAATGAGGCTAATAGTTGGAACACACATAAAAAGAGTAGCTTTTATCTAAATGTAGTTGCGATAATTCAAGATATTTAACAAGGTTTTTAAAAAATCAATACAGTAGCGGTTAAATCACATAGAGTGAGTAGCAGAATGAAATCTCTTCAAAGAGATGAGACCCTTAACTGCTAAGTGCTCCTCTGATATAGGACTTTATACTATTGTTGAATGATTAAGCATTTCAGTACCCGTGTTATTAGTACCTGCTATTACAGATCGAGAAAAGCTGGTTCTTGATTTGATGTGTATTTGTACTGTACTTTGATTTGAAAGCACTTTAGGAGCAGTAAATATGACAGCTATTATTTCACATTTTCCTTCACTGACACTTTGCCCAAGTTCTAGAGCAAGATTCTTCTGTGTTAAATAGGAGAGAATTTTCTTCTCTTGCTGACTGATTTTCTTTCGCATGTACATGGAACCATATACAAATGATCATTTACTGAAGCATATTCTTTATTTTTCTGTATTGTTTGAAGATACTTTTACCATATCTTTGAGCCCGATTGGAAATTTGGAAAACCAGCACTGCTTGATAGAATGATATAAATGCTTAGCTTATCCACTGACAAACATTAAGAATAAATGACAACTTGGAAAATTAATACCTCTGGCTTTACCCTTTGCTTGTGTTGGAAGAAAAATCTGGTCCGGTTCCAAGCCGGGAGAAAGATGCTGGAAATATAATGGAGGAAGGCTGCAAGGAAAGGAGGTCTCTGTTTGGTTTTCCAAAAACTTCAATTGAGAGCAGCATGTTTCTGTGGTGGCTGAAAAAATGGGATTGGGATAGGTGGGCTTTTATACATTCTTTGGGGCTTTGTGATTGAGGTGCCTGTTCCTGCATAAGAATGTGTCCCTTAATATTTTAATGGCTGTCACTATTCCTATGGGGGTCATATAGAGGTCATGGCTGGCTCTTCAGGCAAAAGGGGAAATGCAAATACTAGGTATTTGTCTGAGCTAATCTCGTCAGCTTGCCTAACCGTGTTGCTTATTTGGAGTCTATTGCTTATGAATAGATTGGCCCAGTTTTTCTGAATGGATACAAAATCTCCATTCCAAAAGACCAGCCTCTTCAAGCTTCTGCTTGTTTTCCTATGGCAGGAAGACTGGAGCTCCTTTCTGCCTTTAAGAACATCTTTCTCCTCTTCTCCTTTAAGGGAAATATAATATTCTGCCTCTTTAATATTGCCCAAAATACTTCATTTTCTAGGAGGAGGGCTTCCCACACTTACAATATAGACAAATTATATCTAGTTATAAAAATTAACATAGGTCTGCAGTGAAATAAAATTAACTTGAACGTATTAATCAGTTCCAACATCACTTTCAGCAATTACTAGGAAAAACTGTTTCTCCCCTCCTTGTCCTCAGAATGGCATATCTGCTCACTGGCTCCTCCTGGACTGAGCTGTGGCCCACTGAAGTAAACATGCAGCATCTGTTGGAACTGCTTATTGTTTAGTAGAAATAGTTTCCTTCAGGTCAGGTTCAACTTATGCATGTAGGTGTTTTCAGCAACAACAGAGAGTCATGCCACATTTTGGTTTTTCCTGGTGTTCCAAACCAAATATTAACCAGTTCAATTCTGCTTAGCTTTTGAAAATTGGCAGAATTTAAGTAGATTCTGCTGTTTTATCCTCACTGCAATCCACTTCAAACTAAGCTGCTTGCACAATCATTCAGTTTTCTCTAGATTTGTCTTCATTTGTTCATTTTATTTTTTAAAAAATAATAAAGTGTAGCTACCAAACTTCTCTTCCAGCATGTTGTTTCACCTTCCAATTTTCTTGACATCTTGGTTAATGAAGATTTTCCTAATTTTCCATGGAACTCCAGTATCTTCCTTTGCAATATAAGCTACAAAGTTTGTACAGTAAAGAAAACCCTACGGTAAATTGAGCTATGAATTAATTCAACAGCCAAACCAACGGCATGTTAATCTAACAAGAAATGGGGGCAGAGTTAACATCGCATTAGGATTTTTTTTTGGGGGGGGGGGGAGGGAAACGGGACTATGTTCAGAATTAAAATTAGAAACCGTGCCAATAAGATTTGCAGTATTTTGCGTACAGCAAGACCACTTTGGAAATTCTGACCCGTATGTATATTTGGAATCCGAAATCATTCGAGGTCGGCAAAATCAACAGCTATTCATTTTGTTCCAAGTTTCGAAGCAATAGCTTTTTTCTGCGGTTTTCTCCTTCAGCAAATGGGGGAAACCAGAGTCAAAGTGCCCAAGGACACGCGGGGTGGGGGGCTCATTTTACCTTCTTGTTTTGCACCCTCGCTAAATCTTCCAGGGGCAGTCTCCACCATCCCAACCTCCAACAGCTGCAAGTCCCCGCCTTCCTCTTCTTAACGCTGGGAAGGCGGGGCCAAGGGAGGGCAACCCGGGAGCTGTGAGGACTACAACGACCGGCGTCCTTCAGGTTGAGGCGGGTTTGCCCGTCCTTTGCCCGGCTTATAACGTGTGCGGGATGGAGAGGAAGGCCGATTCCCGGGCAGATAGCGGATAAACGAGAGGTGCAGAAATATTTAGAGGGTGGTGGGAAGGTCTTGGATCCCCCTTTTCCTCACATGCTAATAGGATTTCGAGACTGGGCACAATTTCTTGAGGTAGGTGATTCTGATACTGGAGAAGTGGTCACTACTGGAAAGCTCCTAGCTGGGGTGGCGCCATCCTAGCTTTCTCTCCCGTAAGAAACGGATAGGACTGCGTGAGAACGCGCGCTGTTAGCAACGGGTTGTTGTCCGGGGTAAGGTTTCTCTCCCAGGGTAGAAAACATGCGTTTCCATTTCCTTGCTTCAACTTTTCCGCGAGGGCACCCAATCCTGCATGACGTGGTCCACAATAGCCCTCTGCCAGATAGGCGCTCCGGGGTAGTTGATTGCGTGGCGAGAGACTAAGCTCCTAAGTGCTAGCGGTTCTCCTGCAGAAGACTCCCTTCGCCACGCCTTGCTTTCATTAAAGAGAACTACTGGTCTTAAAGTCCGGGAAATAGTCTTAACGGAACCAAGTTCCCGTTTTATTACTCTAGTCTGATGTATTCCGGTAAAATTGGACTTCAGTTCCCATAATACCGCCAGCCAGCACAATTGATCAAGAATCGTGCAAAATATTTTGCATTTGGAGAACATAGGATTGGGTACAGTTCCGTCCAAAGAATAATGAACAACTCTATGCTCTTTCAGCCCCAAATCATTTTTGGATTACTCTGTCCCCTTAAACATGGGTCCCCATCCTGGCAGTGTACATGTGTAAAGAAATGTAACATTGGACATTTAAGGCCACTTTAAAAATATGTTTTTATACAAACAAACTTAACCCATCAAATGAAGCAGCTGAGAAGTGTTTTCTTCAGTGGGCACAAGTCATTTCAAGTAGTTTGGTTACATCTCTTTCACTTGAATGATATTCCTGGTGCTTGCATAGGCAAATGATAACTGTCCAGATCAGTGGTGGGATTCAAAAAATTTTACTACAGGTTCTGTGTGCGTGGCTTGGTGGGTGTGGCAGGGGAAGGATACTGTAAAATCTCCAGTCAGAGGTAGTATTCGCCGGTTTCCAAACTATTCAAAATTTCTGTTACTGGTTCTCCAGAACTGGTCAGAACCTGCTGAATACCACCTTTGGTCTACATCATTCCACTAATCTCTTTATTTGACAAATTATATCATGCCTTTCCTAAGAAACACAAGGCAGCATGTACAGCATTCCTCTCATAACATCCTTTTTGAGGTAGGCTGAGAGAGAATGACTGGCCCAAAGTCCTCTAGTGAGCTTGTGTGTTTTCCTCAGGGTGGATTTATTCATTGTCCTCTTCTTCTATTTCTACAGCTTTGGGCCCCTTTCTGTCTCTGTCCTCCTTGAAATGCTCCAGCAATTTTTGAACCCAAACTTTTGGTGCTTTCAAGTGCAATGCACATTTGATGTTGTGTTGAATGTGCTGGACTTGGACCAGGAAGACTTTGGTTCTAATCCTTTCTTAGGCATGGAGTCCAGTTGAGTGATCATCGGTCAGCCATTCCCTCTCAGCCAAATACTGAGAAGTCAGAAACCATCCCAGAAGAAGGTAATGGCAATCCACATCTATAATCTTGCCAGGGAAATTAACACAAAAGTTGTCAGGAATCATGTCTGACTTGAAGGCACCAAAAGAGCAATAACAGTTTACTTTTAGAAAATAAAGCACAGGGCTGATTGTAATCCCTGACCTTAATCTTAATCTTCTAAATTCTATTTGTAATACGTGAGACCCAACCTTTTTATTTTTGCACAAGCTATTCTGCAATGTAGTACAGGTAGTCTTCAACCTACAAGCCCAAATTTCCATTGCTAAGCAAGACAGTTAAGTGAGTTTTGTTTCACTATTATCACTATTCTTGCCATGATTCTTCAGTGAATCACTGCAGTTGTTAAGTTAGTAACACGGTTGTTAAGTGAATCTGGCTTCCCCAGTGACTTTGCCTTTTAGAAGGTTGCAAAAGATGATCACATGACCCCAGGATGCTGCAACCATCATAAATATAGCCAATTGCCAAATGCCCAATTTTTGACCATAGGGATGCTGCAATGGTTGTAAGTGTGAAAAACGGTCATAGGACACTTTTTCAGTGCCATTGTAACTTCAGCTTACAACAAACGGTTGTAAGTCAAGGACTAGCTGTATCTTCTTGCAGCTGTATTTTTGTTTCTTTTCCAATAGATAATATCCATTCCGAAATTATAGAACATTATGAGATGGTCAGATATTAAAATCTGTACAAGAAATTCTCTAGTAAAACGTATCTTCCCCCGTTTGGGTTTCCCTTCAGTAGAACCAACTCCACAGGAAGGGGAATTGGCCATGCTGGATTTCTCAAAGTAAGCCATCTATTATTGTTACAGTGTAATGTCTCCATTGGAGTACAGA